TTTCCCGACGAGAGCCGCAGTACGGGACTAACGAAGAGTTGGATCGACGGATACAAATCGTAGGTGCAGGCTGTATACCATGCTAGCCCCCGCATATGAGACCAATTGGTAAGGTTTACGTTTCGAAAGGTCGAACCACTAATTTGGTCATTGCTACTGCGGACAAGAGTATCATGTTTTCCCTATACTCAAGACACTTGGATAAATCCAGTCTGAGCGAATCCTTGGTCCATTCCCCATTCCATCAAATCAACCAACGTCGTTCATAACTCAATTATCTTAGTGAATCTCAGACTTCTCTCAAGTGGCGTCAACACAAGAAGCATCCAGCCCCCTGAACATTACTTACACAACCACACTGTCGCTCTTCTCAGCATTCAACGTATTCCACGTTGAGAAAATTGGAAGGGACTTGGTAATCAACCTCACCTGTGGAATCCATAATATCTGCCACACACTCGAGTGCTATAGCCAAAGAAGTATTTAGCATATGCTCCGTGTAGTCCGTGCAACCATCATCCTCTTGCTGAATAGCTACGAGGACATCAAGCTCTGGCTTGTTGGCGTTAGTACTAACAAACAGGGATTCAAATCGAAAGAAAACCACAGCTTCGCATCGTCCGAGCCCAACAAACAATAGTGGTGGCTCTTCGGCTCTTCATCATGCCGACGAAGCGGCAGCGTCGATCACCTGCAAGGAGGCACCCAGGAGGTAGAAAGACAAGCTTATATTTACACTCCGGTGGCGCCCGGTGGACCAGACCTTAACCAGACTTGCCTCATGTGCACCTCGTATTAAACCCAAATTACCTCGGCGGGCGGAGATATAAACTTAAACCTTACTTTGGTTGCAACAGAACCTGAGAGATGTCAACAGTCGGTGTGCTCGCAGCCTTCGATGTAGCGTCTTGGGTGGGCAAGTGGTTGAGCATGCCTTGGGTCTTCAGAGGACCTGTCATTCAGTGTAAGCATTACCCTTTAGAGGCCGTGTGAATTTTCGCACGGTCATCCTTCTTTGAATCCTGCCGCTCACGTTCAACCAGTTTCTAGAAGACACATCTTCGAACCAGTGTCCTAGCCTGTCATGCACACTTCCGCTTTGAACACGGCAAAGGCTTCTCACCTGGTGTACCATGTGAGATTGTCCCCGAAGTTAGCTCGCCTGGCAAAAGTACGCAAATCAACCCCGCATTGGCTGCTCCCACATTCCAAAGTCCCCATGTTCGCGATAAAAAGGACCGAAGGTGGCGGCGGTATGGGGAACGCTAATGCAACATGGGTTTGCTCGGTTCGCCCTGTTTTGCCATATACCACGAGGTAGTCCTTTGTGCCTCGAGAGGCTCTCCTCATAAAATAACTGTGGAATTCTCGGAGGGAGGATGTCAAGGATCCAAAGAGAATGATCACTCCGAGGAGCGCCTACGGCTGGACAATTCCAAGTGAGAAACAAAAAGCGACATCAGAAAGCCCAGCAACGGCCAGACGGATAAGACTTGCGGAAGCCTCACAAGCTTCTCGTAGCCTCTTAAGGCTTTTAGGTCTCCGTATCGCTGAGGCATGAGGATGGATACACCTGGATTCGCCGCTTCCATTACTTCAACCATTCCCCACAGCCGCCTCTCACACTTTCTGCCCCTTCATCAGGTGATGACTGGGCCGTTGTAGGTTCTCTGCAAACAGTTATTGTACCGACATGTCATTGAGGAGTAGGCGCTTCGCTTAGACCTCGAACAACTATGTGGACTGGTGACTGGCCTACAAGGAAGAGGTGACTGCATGTTACGTTGCACTCTCTGGTGGTATTCCACCACAACCAGATCGTCTTCTCCATTTCCTATTGGGGAATAGAGTGACACAATGACCTCCTCCAACACGCCGTCCACCAAACGAGTGCTCTATGTGGCAGGTCGGTCTCACTGGCAGCGAGCAATTACACAGGATCTCGCGTGGCGGTATTGCCCACCGGGGGAGCTCCAACCGTGAGGCTCACAATGTACCACCACCGGAATTTGGATGCATATGGCGAAAGTCACACCGGAGGGATTGCCTCCAAGTCAAGTGGGCAAGGGAGTCTTAAGACCCAACTCGCCTTTCCCTTCGACCTCTGATCTTTGTCCCTCTACCACATTGTCCCAGTGGTATAGCGAGCAGCATTCTCAAAATGTCGTCGGATAGCGACAAGTCAAAGGGAGAGTTGCACCAGGGTCCTCAGAGCGATGTCCTTCACTCCGAAGTCCTGGATGAGCCCAAGGGCGAGTTGCACTCGAGCGAGAAGTCCGACCTTGATCATGCTGAGGTCTTGGTCAACCCGGATCTGATGAGCGATGCCGTCGATGGCGAGGTCCGTGAACATGGCATGACCATGTGGGCGGCGGTCAAGCAGCACCCCTGGGCATGTCTATATGCATTTATCATGTGCTTCACCATTGTGAGTCCAGTCGCAAGATCGCAACCCTCAAAGGTAGAGCTGACAGCAGATGCCTCCTTCAGGTCATGGAAGCATTCGACATGTTTCTGAACGGCAACTTTGTTGCGCTTCCCGTCTTCCAACGAAGATTCGGCGTCTTACTCAAGGACGGCGGCTATGCTATCCCAACAAGATGGCAGAGCGCCCTCTTCCAATCTGGCCAATGCGGTGCTTTTGTCGGCGTCTTCCTGGCTGGACCTGTTACCAATCGTCTCGGCTACCGCTGGACAACCATCTTGGCCCTGGTGCTGATGAATGCCACGATTTTCATTTCGTTCTTTGTGAGTTATCACGAACGCCTTACCAAGCTTATCCACTGACCACATCTACTTGATGATTAGGCCGACTCTCTCGCGGTTCTTACAGTTGGACAGGCACTGGAAGGCGTCCCTTGGGGATTCTTCATTGCGAACTCGCCCGCCTACGCCAGTGAGATTGTGCCCCTCGTCCTTCGAGGCGCTTGCACGGCCAGTCTACAGATGGCTTGGTCTGTTGGTCAAATCATTGTCGCCGCAGCCACCTATGGCTACAATAAGCGAAACGACCAGTGGGCCTGGCGAGTGCCTCTCGCCTTGCAGTGGATCTTCCCTGTGAGCTCCTCCTTTAGAATTTTAGGACTAGAGCAGAACGCGCTGACTCTTCCAGACACCGCTATTGATTCTCATCTTCCTCGGCCCGGAATCACCTTGGTGGCTCGTTCGTCGTGGCCGCAAGCAGGAGGCCCTGCGCTCCATCAAGCGCCTGGGTACGAAATCCACCGAGCATGCTGAACAAACACTCGCGATGATGGAACGGACTGTGGAAATTGAATTGCGCCAAGGCGGCACTCCTACGCTCCTCGACCTTTTCAAAGGCACGGATCTGAGACGAACGACCATTATTTGCCTCATGTACGCGTCGCAGAACTTTGCGGGTAACCTGATTGCCAACCAAGCGACCTTTTTCTTTGAACGTAAGTATCTCTTCTTTCTTCGTGACAGAAGCATAGAGACAATAGCTAACTCCTCCCGTTTGTAGAGGCCGGGATCTCGACCAATCGTGCCTTTGAGCTCAATCTAATCAACTCGTGTCTCCAATTCTGCGCCAACGCGGGCTCGTGGTTCCTCACGGCCTGGTTCGGCCGCCGAACCATCTACCTCTGGGGCACGGCGGTCAACATCACGCTACTGTTCGTGCTGGGCATCTGCGCGTCGGTGTCACAGAGCAGCGCGACCAACTACGCCCAGGCGGTGCTGGGGATCCTCATCTCGTTCGTCTTCGCCGGCTGCATGGGCCCCATCTCGTACACCATCATCGCCGAGACGTCGTCGGTCCGCCTGCGGGCCTTGAGCACCGGTGTCGGCCGCGCCGCCTACTACGTCGCCGAGATCCCCATGATCTACCTCGCCTCGAAGATGCTTAACCCCACGGGCTGGAACCTCGCAGGCAAGTGCGGCTACGTCTGGGGCGGCACCGCCTGTGTCTGCTGGGTCATGGCCTTCTTCTTCCTCCCGGAGCTCAAGCACCGCTCGTACCGCGAGAGCGATATCTTGTTCAACCGCAAGATTCCCGCCCGGAAGTTCAAGTCCACCGTCATTGACGTCAAGGACAATGAGTGATGGCGAAGCGAAGCATGGTTTGGGCACGATGTGAGAATGTGAGATTGTCCAAGGGAGGTGGAACGAAAACACGGTGCGGACTCTCCGCAGGATGGCAATGGACCTGTAGTCCCTCTTCATGGATTCAAAGTAGGCACGGATTTCGGTGGTGGTGGGAGAATCACGATGCAGAAGTATCTCGTGGCGGGTGCTATGTCGGGGTTAAATACCTATGCATGCTTCTTAAATGGATGAGAGATCTGGGAATGAAGTCAAGAGTGATCTACAGAGCATACATACACACACATGACTCTCTAGAGATTTAAAAGTGTGAAGTGTGAATACCAGGCCCAAATACATTCAATCCTTGTTTGCTTGCTTTCTTTGTTTTGACCTCTCAGTATGACCTGCCTGCCTACGTTTGATCCAACCTGACCCACTCCGATCCCAGATTTCAAGTATTCTTAAAGACCATGAAATTACTTTTTTGTAAGGAGATACCAAAAACATCGTTCGCTCGCTCGCTTGCCTGCCCGCCCGCCCTCGCCATCATCCTTGTCTTTCTTTCCCTTCCCCCTTTGAGCGTTTATACGTTCGCACATTCGCGTTCTAGTACTGGCGCTCGCGCCGGCTCCGGCTCGGCGGCAGTGAAACCTCTGTAGGTCACTTTCCATCACATCCCATCCCATTCCATTCGTTCCATTATCCATATCATGATAATATATCGATCGTGCACCGCGGTTCTTTGTTCTCCCAACATAGCATATCACTTCATATCATATCACCCTATCTCGTCCCATCCCATACTATATTCCTCGCCTCAAACAAGACTTGAAACCTACTAAGAAAAAAAGAAAGAGGGGGGGGGGGAATAAAAGGAAATAGTCAAAGTAGGCTGGCGGCCAGTCGAGTCGAGTTCGTTCGGGTCTGGCTCGCCCACTTAACTCATTCCCTTATCACAAAGTCATGTCCATATCCATGTCGCTGTCTCGCTCGGCGTCAAAGTCATAGTCTTCGTCGAATTCGGGCCCGTCGGGGTCTTCGACAGGCGTGGGATGGTCCGCGGGTAACCACTCGGATATATCGGAGTAGGCATCTAGGTTGTCGTCGTCGGCAGTGGCGTCAGTGGCAGTGGCAGAAGCGTCGGGATCCCTCGTCCTCCCCTCCGAGCCACAGAATAGCTTCCACCGCCGGCGTGCAAAAGGGTTCGTGCCGCCACGCTTGACAAAGTCGAGGACGGCACCGCTTGACACGCGCGCCGGAACCTGCACCCTGTCCATGTGTTGCGTGTCCTCTTCCAAGTCTCGATTGTCGTGGTCCCAGGGGCTGACCAGCTCAAGCGAGTCGAGCGTAAAATCCGGGTTTGACGACCACCTCTCGACCACGTCCTCCCACCGCCCCCGCAGGTACGGTCTTCTCAGAATCAGATGTCTCAGTCTCGGTTGCATGAACAGCCACGCGCAGATCTGGTCGGCGGTAAAGTCGGCTTCCTCGAGCACCAACGTGTCGAGGAACGGAAACGAGACAAAGGGCAAGACGTTGTCTCGACCACGGTCGGCGTCACCGAACGGGATCCCCACGTGCGTGGGCTCTCCATACGAGGTGCCGAGCACAGAGGGGAGGCTGAAGCTGTATGACATGAAGCAGAGCTCGAGCCGTCTCAGGTTCGACGCCCGGGCGAGGGCTGTGGCTAGGACGTGGGCATGGGGGATCGCATTCAGTGGGGACAGGGTTTTCACCTCGAGGCAGAGGCAGAGGACGGTCAGGTTACGAAAGCCGTGTTCGAGGTTCTCGGCATCGGGTCCCAGATCCTGCACAAAGACGCCGCGCTGGAGGAATAGATTGCTGTTTCGTCGGATTTCGAGGTGTTGGATACCAGTGTCCAGCGTTGGGTCACTCAAAGCACGCCAGGCGCCCATGAACCCATGCGACGGCCAGTGCCGTACGTCGGGTTGGAGCCAGGACCTGACACCATAGTCTGGCAGGGGGAAGACTTGCCTGAGGCGTTTCAAAGCGCCCATTTGTTCCAAGCATGAAGAATCCAGTGCGAGGCAATCAGCGTCAGTCTCGGCCTCGACACAGATGACTCGCCGGAGATTGGGGAGGCGTTGAAAAATCTCGCGAAAGAATCCATAGAGGAAATGGGGCTTTTGGGAGTGCGCCGTATCGGCGTACATGCCTCTGACTGCAGATATCATGTCTCGGATGTCGTCGTCACTGGGTCTTCGCTCCGCCTCAGCTAATGCGGTATCGCCTTCGTCCAGACCCGACGCCTCCGAGTCTTCTCCCGTGTAGTCGATGGCCAGTTTCTTGCGTTTGACAATGAACTCGGCGATCATGCTGGTCATGCCCTCGTTCCTGTGCAGTCTATGTGCTAGAGGGGTTTCTGGCTGGTTCCACGTCTCGTCATCGACATTGATGTCAAAGCTGAACTCCTGGTACCGAAGCTCCTCGACGGCCTGACAAAGTGTAGGGTGATGACTGATGTCGACGAGTCGTTTTAGTGTGAGATACGAGACATGGATGGTTCGAAACAAGAAAGGCCCAACTTTGCTGGCCAGGGCCCTGTTGACGAGGCGGACAGCCTGAAGATGGTCCCGGTCCAAGAAGGAGAGGACGTGCACCAAGACCTCGAGTGGGAACTGATTCAACATGTTTTCTAGATCCACAAACACATACACACAGAGAGAGAGAGCACACGAGTATAGAAAGGGGGAAAAAAAGAAGGAAAGAAAATAATGATTCCAATCCACCAATTTATATGAAGCTGGACCAGGCTGAGATAGGCTAGATCTTCGACTGCGACAGGTAGGCAGCAATCACATCAGGCGACCAAGAGGAGTCGGTCGAGCTTCAATCAGCTGCCTTTTTGTTGTCTAGTCCGGACCGGTCAACCAAGGGGCCCCCGGGGGCCCATTGAGGCCAATGGCTGGAATAGTTTCATGATAGTTCAATTGTGGTTGGAACGACATTGAGGGACAGCCAATCATGGACTCGGGTTATGTACAAAGTCTGGAGAGAAAAGTGGAGGAAGTCAAGTCACTCACATGAATGACAATCGTTCCATTGATGGAAAGAGAGACTCACTTTCACCAACCCGACAATTTCTTTGTTACAAAGGGAAGGAGAGTTCATGTCACTATTCTCGGGCTGGAATCTCCTTTTATTATTATCACCGAGAACTGGACACTAAATATGCTTTTTACACGGCCAAACTCTCGGACAAACTCAGAAGCTCACAATTCCCTCTAAATGCTCTCTCCACACAACCATCCCGCAGATTGTACATATCACGGGTTGCGATGGATAGTTGTACCCACACAGCCTAGAACACCAGCGTATATACTTCCCGTTTGTAACGCTTTGATACCTTTCTGGCAGAGTTTCGCCGAATGCTACGCTCATCACCATCTCATTCTGCCCTCAGATGAACCTCACCTAAAACTGATCTAGAAGGCGGTCCGTCATTCTTGATGGCCTTGTTGCCCAGGTGGAAACCTCCTTAAATAAGGTACTTGCTGTGTGATCTCCCTGGCACGGACGCTCACACCAACAACTCACATTCACTTTTCCAGAAGTCTGTACCGTCTCTCATTAAACCGCTCGGATCATAACAATGTCGGCGTCAAAGCCCAACTGGTGGAAAGCCAGCACCTGTTACCAAATCTGGCCGGCTTCATACAAGGACAGCAATGGTGATGGAATCGGTGATATCCCCGGGATCATCAGTACATTGCCATACCTGCAAGATCTCGGGGTGGAGACAATATGGCTCTCGCCCATGTACGACTCACCCCAAAAGGACATGGGTTACGACATCTCCAACTACGAGGACGTCTATCCCGCCTACGGGACACTGGCCGACATGGATCGGCTGATCAAGGAGTGCCACGACCGCGGGATGAAGTTGATCCTCGACCTGGTCATCAACCACACCAGCGACCAGCATGCCTGGTTCCAAGAGTCGCGCAAGAGCAGGACCAACAGGTACGCCGATTGGTATGTCTGGCGGGATCCGAAAATCGTCAACGGCAAGAGACAGCCCCCGAGCAACTGGCGGTCCATCTTCGGCGGCAGCGCATGGGAGTACTGTGAAGAGCGGGACCAGTATTACCTGCACCTGTTTGTCAAGGAGCAGCCGGATCTGAACTGGGAGAACGAGGAGACGCGCAAGGCCATCTACAAATCCGCCATCGAGTTCTGGCTCGACAGGGGCGTCGACGGGTTCCGTGTGGACGCCTGCAACCTGTACTCCAAGGACACGTCGTTCCCGGACGCAGTGACGAAACTGCACGGGGAGGAATTCCAGCCGGCCGAAGAATTTTACATCAATGGCCCTCGCATGCACGAATGGTTCAGGGAACAACGTCAACAGGTCCTCGACAAGTACGGCGACATCTTGATCGTCGGCGAACTCCCCGGCACCGAGGCGGCAGAGGTGTTGAAATACGTGTCGTCCGAGGCGCGTGAGCTGAGCTGTGTCTTCGATTTCGACGTGGTCAACCTGGGCACGCCAAACGGAGGAGGTGGCAAGAAGCACCACACTGTCCGGCACACGTTGCCCCAGTTCAAAGAGGCCATCCGCAAGGTGCAGCGGCTGACCGAGGGCACCGACGCTTGGACGACAGTTTTCCTAGAAAACCACGACCAGGGTCGCAGCCTGACGCGGTTCGCCACGGACAAGCCACAGTGGCGAGAGAAGGCGGCCAAGATGCTGACGGTGCTGATGTGCACGCTGACGGGTACGCTGTTCATCTACCAGGGCCAGGAGATCGGCATGTATAACCACCCGGAGCACTGGGGCGTCGAGGAGCTGCGGGACATTGATTCGCTCAACGCCTACAACGACGTCAAGACCCGGCACCACGACGACCCGCTCTGGCTGAAGAAGGCCATGAAGGGCCTGCAGCTGGTCGGCCGCGACAACGCCCGCCTGCCCGTGCAGTGGGACGCGACGGCCAACGCGGGCTTCACCACGGCCAAGAAACCCTGGATCCGCGTGCACGACGACTATGAGGCCGTCAACGTCGCCGCGCAGCGTCGCGACCCCAGCTCGGTCCTCTCCTTCTGGAAGGCCATGATCAAGCTGCGCCGCCGCCACGCCGACTTCACCGTCTTCGGCCGCGACTTTCACGTCTGGGACCCCTACGACCAGGACGTCTTCACCTTCACAAAGACCCACCCGGACGGCGACCGCAAGTTGCTCGTCTTCCTGAACTTTTCCGACGATACCCAGCCTTTGCATTATCCGCCCGGTTTGGGCCTGGATGGCGCCGCCGTCACCAAGGAGCTGTTGGTCAGCAATCTCGCACAGGGCGATGAGGTCGGCAAGTACCTGACTCCCTGGGAGGCGAGGGTGTATCTGGTCCGGGAGGGGGTGGTTAATGGCCATTAGAGAGATGACCCTGTCTGTTCTGGACATGGGGAGAGAGTACTAACACGATCCGTCCTGGGTGTGCTAGAGCGATAAGAAAAACATATGCTGGCGTTGGAGATTCCACAGGTTGCTTGATTCGGCGCGTTGGCTGGGACAAAATATCGTTGGAGCGGTAGAGACATGGACTTCAGAAATCAATGATATTATCACTTTTGAACAGACGTCTATCCTACCCCAAAAAATGTTGTACATGGTTTCGCGCGAGACAGTCTTGGCTGATGACGAGGTTCCTCCAGGCGAAGGGAAATCTCCAAATGCAACAAGAACTGCTCAATATATAGTACAATGCCATGTCAGCTGGAATGGCCCTAGCACATTCCGAATGGTAATAGAGTGTCAGGGTTCGAGTTCGGCCGACAAGCTCGCCTGAATACTTGGTGAGCCGGATGCTGAACGGTAGAGTGGAGTTGGCTGCGATCGGTGTTTCCTGATCTCGATAAGAATATTGCTATCTCCTCCGATTCTGGTGAGAACAGCATTGGACGCAAGAGAGCCTGATATTCTGACGAGTTGAAGTTGAGGCCACGGACCCTTGAGCTGAGTGTGAAAGGCTGCTATCACAGCTAAACCTCGACACCGAAAATTTGATCGTGTTCGTTAACTTGTAGACATGGTGGGGCACAGAGATCATCCAGGTGCGTTCCGTGGCTGTTTGTGTCGATTGCAGTCTCAACCCTGTTGGCCCCCCTGCTTTTCCTCGATCGGTGTGTGCACAGACTCAGTCCCATCCTCCCAAAACTCAAGATCCTCCTCGCCCTCGTTGCCCACCAGTTCACCCGGTCGGATGCCTAATCTCCCTTTCTTCAACAGTTTGCTGAAATCTTCGCCAGCGGCTGCTTTCTTTCTCAGTATGTCTTCAAGTGTCGAGCTCTTGTCCAAGAATATTTTGAGGTGATCGGCAATAACGTGCCGCCCTTTGCACGAGGGGCACGTAACCAGGACCGTTCCGCGGTGGTAGCCATGTTTAGTGATGCGGTGTGTGGATCTGTAGAGACAGGGCTTGCAGGTAAAGCTCAGTTCGTAGGAAGGCTCATCTCGCCCTTCAGACGGCTGTTCTTTGGCTCCGGGCACAGCTAATGACGAGTTGTGTCGATTGATCGGTAAAAAAGGGCGACGAGATGGAGTTGGCTGTCGCCATGCTAGTGGACTTCTCGACGCGAGCGATGGAAGCCGCGCGGAATTTCTGATCGACTGGAACGCGAAGAGGCTGCCTGCCGCCCTCGGCACAGCATGAGATATCGATCGCATGCTGCCTCAAACCTGAGAAATGTGAATTGAGAAGAAAATGGCACTTTGGGTACCTCGTAGTGAAGGCAATTCTCCGATGACGAAGGTTTTCTCCGAGAAAAGGTCAAAGGTCTTTTGATTTTCCGATCCGTCTCCGGCCATTTTAGGGCGGCGTGCCACCTCGCAACGCCTTGCTCCAGCACAGTGGCGTCCAGGCGGCTGAAGGAACACAGCGACTACAATTACCAGCGAAAGGTCCCTTCCCCCCCTCATTCTCTTGGTCCATGCATCGGCCTGGCAAGGTATTTGAGAGCAAGACTAGACCGTCATCTTCTGAGGCTGTCAACTTCCTTGACCGTCGTGAGACTTCACTTCTCCAAAAGTCCTTTCCACCTGCTCCTCAACTCAACATCAGCTCAGCCTTTTGGAAACAACGCAACCTCAAGGGCTGCCTTAGTGCAGGCAATGTGTCCTGCCCATCATGTTGGCTAAGAAAGGTGGCTCAAAGATCAAAGCCCCGAGAAGAGTACGTGCCTTGCCTCTGAGACTGTCTCGCAGACTGCGATTTCGGTGAAGTTTGCAACCGCCTTTGTTCGTTCCCTGAGCCTACGACATATCACTTCAACCTGCCTCGATTTTCCGCACCATATCGACTGTCACGATTCTGCACAATGCCAGTCTACCTTCTCCCCTGTCACGTGCTAATATGTCTTCTTGTTAGGGTCTGGCAAAAGACGATGTCGACTTCGACTCAACATGGAACACTTTATCTACCGCTTTCCACGAGATTTTTGCCAAAAATGCCTCTAAACTCTCGTTTGAAGAACTCTTCCGCAATGCATACAAGCTAGTCTTGAAGAAAAAGCAGGATATGCTGTACGACAGGGTCGCGGAGTTGATATCGTTATGGCTGTGGAACAATGTGCGAACGAAGATACACAGTCTGGTAACACCTGCACTCCTAGCAGATCGCATGGACAGACACGCCGCCATATCGGAAGAGAGCAGAGTCGCTGGTGAGAGGTATATTAGAGCTCTCAAGGATGCCTTTGCCGATCATCAACTCTGCATGGGGATGATCACCGACGTTCTGATGTACATGGTAAGTGTCTCGGATATTTCTCTGATGCGCTGATACGATGCTTATAACCGACACAGGACCGCATGTATGCCCAAGATAAGAAGAGACCACCAATTTTTTCCGCCTCAATGACGCTGTTTCGGATGAGGGTTCTTGAGAGTACTTTGGAAACTGAACCGCCACTCACTGTCCTCGGTCTATTGAACACTGTTCTACTTGATATGATCAAGTCTGAACGCAAAGGTGAAATCATTGATCGACCGTTGGTTCGTGCTTGTTGCTACATGTTGGAGGGCGTCTACGACTCGTACAGGGATGAAGAATCCAGCAAACTATACCTCACGTCATTCGAGCCTCTGTTCCTGCAAGCGAGTCGGGAGTTCTATACGACCGAAGGCCAAACTTTGTTGGTCGAGGCCGACGCAAGTTCGTTTTGCACCCACGCAAGGAAACGTTTGGCCGAAGAACAAGAGCGTTGCCAGCAGACCATCTCCCAACTTACAGAACATAAAGTCAAAGCTGTCGTGGAAACGGAGCTCATTTCTGCTCATATTCGCGAAGTCATCAACATGGAGGGCACTGGGGTGCAGAGCATGCTGGACAATGACAAAATTCAAGATCTTGCCAATGTGTACGAACTCGTTAGCAGAGTGGACCCGCGGAAGACTGCGCTGAAGGATGTGGTCAAGAAGCGAGTGATAGAGCTCGGCACGGACATCAACAAGGTTGCAAATGTCATTGGTGAAGCCGCACCCGCAGCGAAGGCCACGCAGAAAGCCGGTGCTGACGGCAAAGGCATACAACAGGAGAAGGCGCTGAATCAACAGACCCATGCCGCCATCATGTGGGTAGATCAGGTTCTCATGCTGCAGGCAAAGTTTGACAAAATCTGGAAAGAAGCATTCCAGAAAGATACAATCCTAGAGAAAGCTCTACAGAACTCATTCCAGGATTTCATCAATATCAACGACCGAAGCGCAGAACATCTATCTCTTTTCCTCGATGAATATCTGAAACGGGGTGGAAAGGACAAGAGTGACAAGGAGGTGGACATAGTTCTCGAAGACGGCATTTTGCTTTTGCAATACCTTGCAAACAAGGACACGTTCGAGACATACTATAAGAGGCACATGGCGAAGCGTCTCCTGATGAAGAAATCAGTCAGTCGAGAAATGGAACGCGAGATGCTCTCAAAGATGAAGATGAAAATTGGGAACCAGTTCACCCAGAAGCTGGAAGGTCTCATTAGAGATACGGAGACGTCAGATGATCTCAACATCAAATACAAGAAATACGTTGACAAGCTCGGCGACCGCGATCCCAAACGTGTGGAGCTGGAATGCAGAGTCTTGACCACGACTATTTGGCCCTTCGAAACGCTCAGCAAGCCCGATGAAAACGCTGCCAAGACCGAATGCAAGTTTCCAGCTCCGGTTGAACAGGTGCGGCAGAGATTTGAGAGATTCTACCTGGATAGGCATACTGGGAGAAAGTTGACTTGGATGCCCAGTCTCGGTGATGCCGACATGAGAGCTACATTCACGAACGGTGGGAAAACGCGGCGATACGAACTCAATGTCTCGACCTATGCAATGATTATTCTCATGCTCTTCAACGATCTCGCACCAGGGGAATGTTATACCTTTGAGCAAATCATGGCTGAAACCAACATTCCCAAGCCTGAGCTCGTGCGGAACCTCCAGTCACTATCGTTGGTGAGTAAATGGAAGGTCCTTCGCAAAGAGCCTATGACGAAAGACATCAAGCCATCAGACAAATTTTACTTCAATGAAGATTTCACCAGCCAGTTTCTCAAGATCAAAGTGAGCGTGGTCGCGGGAGGCGGCGCTAACCGGGTCGAGAGCTCGGAAGAACGTCGTGCGACTCAGAAGCGGACAGAAGAGGAGCGCGGGATTGTCATCGACGCTGCGATTGTTCGGATCATGAAGTCGCGCAAGACTGTGACGCATGCACAGCTGATGACGGAGACTCTGGCACAGGTCTCGTCGCGTTTCCAGCCCGATGTCAATATGATTAAGAAGAAGATTGAATCGCTGATAGAGAAGGAGTACATGGAGAGGGGTCCTGACCCAGCAAAGCCTTCCTACATCTACCTGGCTTGAGAGGCACGAATTTCCGAAGCGTTCACGTTCAGCATGTCGGCTTTTGAGGATGGCGCTTATAGGGGTAGAATCATGTTTGGAGGAAGCATGACTTTTATGATGGCATGATAGCAAACGACTTACGCAGGGAGCATCCAAAGATGGAATGGGACAAACACCGGCATGGCGTATGGTCGACCAGGTATCGTCCATCTCTTCGACCTCAAGTGGAGAGCGGACAGGAGCTTTTCTGGCGGAGTTTTGGAAGAGCTCGACATGTTGTCGCCCCTGAGCATCGTACGGCGAACTCATCGCAAACATTACAATACAGTGCCATGAACCACATGAAATTCCTCCCAGGACCAGTGAGTGGATTCTGATGGAGATAGACCCATTTTCCGTGTTGTTAATTCTGATTCTTCTAGCGTGACTGACGTGGCGTTATTCCCCAGGTCACTATTGCGAAGAGTGAATGTCTAGAACAGAGAACAAAGAACACCTACTTGGTCTCACAGGCACTTCACCTCTTCCTTCACACCGCCTTTTCTCTGTCACTTCCAAGCTTCCAACCTCAGTCAGATCCCATCGATGCGCCCATCTCTCTCTCTCTCTCTCTTCTTCGGCTCGACTCGGCTTGTCAACCTCGTTGCTACAGACGATGTCAGCGGCGTCTCCAGAGTCCAACTCTTCCTACCCTTCTCGCTGGTCTTGGTATCTTCCAGGGAGCCAGAAACCCAGTTACGACTCCCTTGGCGATGTTCTTTTGATCCTGAACCAACGAATCACTCCATCTGCACTCGGCCATGACGCGGGAACAGAACCCAACAAGAAGGATGAACATGATGAAGGCATGCGGCCTGAAGGCCTTGATGGGCCGTCCAGTGAAGCATCACTCATAGAGGCACCGGTGCCCTGCGGGGCTCAAGAGATCGAAGCCAAAGTGTCGTCCAAACATCTCTCGATGGCTTCACGGGTCTTTCGCGCCATGTTCGATGGTAAATTTCAGGAAAGCGTCGTGCCCGGATGCAATCAATTGTCCAGAGTACCACTGCCCGAAGACGATGCTGATGCTATGATGGTCTTGCTGGGAATCATACATGGACTGAACAGGAGCGTCCCTCGTACAATCGATTGTGGTTCTGATCGACAAGTACGAGCTTCAAGAGGTTACAGGAGTGTACACAGATCTCTGGTTCCCAAGTCTATGGCCGCATCGTGACACTTCGACTCCACATATTGCCGACTGGATTTACATCTGCTGGGTTCTCAAGAGACCGCCGGAGTACAATGAACTGACCAGAAAAGCCATCTTCGCGTGTCATTCTCGCTTTGACGACAACGGACTCCCATTGCCACCGGCAATTTCGAGTAAGGATAACCTCCGTCGATGTCGTTTCAAAAAAAAAAAAAAAAAACTAACCGTGCATGCATAAAGGCGAGATCGAATCCTGTCGACTTTCGGCCATAGAAGACCTGCTCACCTACCTGAACGAGACCCTTGAGACATATCAGGGCGAAATACAGCAATGCTCACAAAACACAAATTGTGACGCCCTCGTCCTCGGTGACCTTGTCAGGAAATTGAAGGCCAAGGGTCTTTATCCTGTTCCCCAAGCTGCGGCTCTGGACGTGTCTCTCTGGGAGCTTTTTTCTCAATTGTTGGAATTGGCAGTCTCCACATTGTGTGAGATACAATTGCCGCCACATACACAGTCATCCTTCGGCATCGCCCCCGCTCCGCCAGTTTGCAGTATCGAGAAGAGTCTTGAAGAGAAAATATTCCGGGTCCGGCGCGGAGTGGCAGGTCTGACATTGCCCATCTACACTCCATCCAATCTTTGGACAGGGAACAAAAAATAGCGCTGGACTATTTAAGGGCCCTCCGGACAAGTACGACCCATTAGAATTCGGAATGTGGGTGGCTGGAGTAAGAGGAATGCAGTCTGGGAACGGCACGCGGGATGACTTGGTGCTCCTCTCCGGGCCTTCGTATGGAAAACCTCGACACTTCTTCGATTCCACTATCATGTGTGGGCTGGATGGTATTGTCTTATTTCCTCCATCCGAAAGATCGCCCACAACTCAAGTGATTTTCTTTCGGTGGCGTCATCGCTCGAGAAGTTACCCAGCTTCCCCAACGAAACCGGAATACCATCTCAAAGGGTCTAACTATCAGGTGCCCTACGAGCGAGCATACCCGGTAAACTTTGAGGGGAGAACCAAGACGCCGTCTACGATCCGGGCGCTTCAGAAGAGACACGACAGGAGCGAAAAGGGAGGGAAAGGTCACGTTCCGGAATATCACACCTGACAAGACAAGAAGGAATGCTGGGCCTGGCTGCACGGTCGTTATGTCTTCGCACGGCAGACACCGCTTTGAGTCTGTACGTATGTATGTCTGTACACACGGAAAATGGAAAGGGAATCATAATACGACTTTCACTGGCCGCTTGTAACTCTCTAGATGCTGGAGGCGAAAGATATCTATCGAACTCCAACAAGCCGTGAGTCTCGGGTGATGAAAGTGATAAACTATCCTCTACATCGTATTCACTCGTCTCGTCTTCGCTAGACCCAAACTTCCCCTGCAATATAGGTCGGCCATTATTAATTTCATTACATTGGTCCAGGTCCGTCAGTCACTCAGTCAATGGCGCCACTCCATCGCCCGGTCATATTGGAATAGAATCTGTCAATTCGCAAGGCACAGGAGCGTTGATAGAATTTGGTGTCGTTGCTCGTAGCTAAAAGGGCTCAACGATGTGAATAGACTGTACGGAAAGAGGCAGCACTATCCATCCCTATTCCTACCTCTCCATAGTTGACTTAACTCGCGGCACTGAACACAAGACGCGAAGTTGGAACATCCAGGACCGTCATTGCAGCCCGCGATCCAAGCGAGACCCCGAAAAATGGTCTCATTCACGAACCCCCAGCGCGTAGGAAGCCCGCATTGGACACATATCGAGTGCGTGACGTTTTCTGTAGCATCATAAACACTAATTGTCCCGTACCCACCCCAGCCATGACATTGACAGGCTGGATTGTCAGTTCCTCCAACATCTTTGAACCGTTTGTGCACAAGCTTGACCCTCCGGAAATCGGATACTTGATCGGGACGTCGTGTAGGCCTCGGCCTCGCACTCGATTGGCTGCCGTCGCATGGCGGAGAGTTGCCCATAACCGTGTTGTCACTCAAACTCCCTTCTTCGGTGACACGGCAGAATCGGATCCCACAACTAACACTAGGTTGGTCTTCAGTTTGGAAGTCCTTTTAGCTAGCTGTCTGATTGCTTACCACTGGGTTTCATCTCCCGGAGCCGCATCCGTGCGTGCGTGGCACGACGGGCAAGTAGCCGTGTGCTCTTCTTCTGCATCGAAGACAAAGCTCATGTTGTATTCACCTCCAGGCACGAACCATTCGTGGAAGGGTGAACTCATATCAACGTCCGTTGGCTCTCCTCTACGGCGAATCGCGAACTCGCCCCTCTTGACTTTGACGAGGCCAACATCGGGGAACTGGCACTCCAAGAAATTCTTGAGTGCTGGAAAAGTGGTGATGTTCTCGATGTGGAAGTGTGAAATCTTGTTCTGGGCATCGATGAAGATGATGGGCGGAAGTCTGTGTATCTGGCAAGGCAGCTGTCGATGTTGCACGTGGCATGCGCGTGCTGTATTCGCAATCTCCATCTGCGTGTTCCAGATAGCGCGTTGGTGATACTCGCAAGGTGTGTAGTCTTGCTCTGAGTACCTTCGAGCAAATTCCTGCTCACTCTCCTGCTGCGGAAGGTTGCTTAACCTGGGTTAGAATAGCGCAAGTATGTAAAGCCTGGAACAGTCTTAAACACTCACAACATCGCCTGCAAGTGAAGTTGCAGCACCTTTATATCGTCGTCCAGCCTTTGACTGAAGTCTTGGATGTTTTGAGCCTCGGCCTGCGACTGCACCTGCTTCAGTATGCCTCTCAGCCCTCCTCTTGGATCGTTTCGCTTCAAATAGTTGTGAAACTTCTGGATGCCTTTATTGAATGCCCCCAAGCTCTTCTTGCAGTGGCCAAGGGCCTTTTTAAGGCCTTTGCGATCTTCCCGAGGGAGGCCTCGACTTCGATCCGCAATGAGGTTCAATGTTGACTGCAGGATGTCAAGGCGTCTGATCAGGTGCTGGTATTCCGCACGAGAACCCCCAGCCTCACGAAGGGCTTTTGCAAGCGTTTTGGTCCATTTAATGGCCGTGTCAATGTCGCCGAGACCGAAACTGAGCGACATCTCCCTGATATGACTTGAGGGTCAAGCCATGAGCAAATAGTCTTGACTGAGAATGAAGAGGATGAGATATGTTGCTCAGTTCCGCTGTCAGGCTGAATTGTCAGTGATTATGGGCGCAACTCAGCTTCGAATTGAAATTCGTCGCCTTATTGGCCGCAGCCACTGTGCACCCATCATTCGCCAACAGGCATGATGCGATAAGAAAAATTGAATGAGTCAGGCTGTTCGAGACTCCATGCATTATCCAACCTTTGAATGGCAGACGCAAACAAGGTCGTCCATATACTCGCATTTGGGGTGGGGCGGGGACGGAACAGTTTTGTACAGTTAGAAAGCAACTCAAGGGGGCAGGGGATCCAACGTTAAGCTTTTAAGCATACCGCGGGCGTGCCTGGGCCTCCAGAGCACTCCCTAACCCCCTCCGCGAGGCGAGGTTGGGAAGCATCCGGCTCCTATTGCCTGACGACCCGTGTATCCGTGTGGCAATAGTACACACCATATACTTAGTAGGTGGACATGTATATTCCTCTTACGGGTGCACCTAGGTTACTCGGTAGGTGCCTGTGCTTATCCAAGGACTTGTAATTCCGAGCCCAAGCACCGAGTCACAGGTACCGAGTACTGCGTAGGTAATCGTTATCGTCATCTTAGGCGAGGCCACGAGGGTACTAACTCTGGAGTAGTGCCTAGCTTGCTAGGGTACAATAGGCATTCGATCAAGCCTCGAGCTTGTCTCCGCTACCTAGAAATTAATTACTCCGTAGTGTCCGTAGTAGGCGGGCACGACGGGTCGGGTCGTACGGGTTAGACTGAGGTTTAAATTATGGGGTACCTAGGCACTACCTACGTATTACCTATCGAGTACCTCGACAGCTTGTATGTATCGAGTACCAAGGTGCCTACCTACATAGGTACCTAGGTGCGCAGATGTAACGGGATTCACATATAAAGGGGAAGGTTCTGGGGAAGAGTTCGCTGTCTTCGCCATCGAATGCAAATTATTAAAGATGTAAATCTCCTCTGGATCTGAACCAACTCCCTTTGCTTGCTACCTCTAGCGAGACAGACGATGATGCTTGTCCTCCAAAGTGAATCCGAAACATGTCCTGGAAAACAAACAAATTGCAGACACCTTACCCAACTACAAACCAGATCCAAAAGTAATACAAACATAGGAGACATGCCGAGCGGTACGAAATCGTTCTGTGTCCGACTCTATTACACCCAGATCGCCAACACCACGTTGTCTGCTAGCGTGGCCATTGCAACCATTCCCAATTTTTGCGGGCTTTTGTTTTTGGGTACCATATGAGAAGGGAAAACAACGGGGTTTATCCCTTCCGGTGCTTTCTCTTCTGTTTTTCATCCACAGTTGTCCCTTTCTGCCGTGTGGGCAATGACGATGTTATCTCAGACCCCCCGCGTCGCGAGGTAGATTCTTCTGTTGAGTCTGTCATGACCCGAGGCACCACACTGCGATCGTTCGAAGATTGAGTATACTGACTAGTCCTCTCGGGACGTCCGTCGCTCCCCTCTGTGGTCAGCGGTTGGGCCTCCCTTGGCCTTCGGCTCGTGGGTATGTAATTCGGTACATGGACGTCCTGGCCAGGACTTTGTGGACTCATCGAGCGGCGCACGTCTTGCCCAGGTTGGGCCGCTGACTGACGGGAGATGGCATATGATCGAGTCTCAGTGTTTGGAGCGCTGGATTGAGGCGTAATACTGGGAGCGTACGGGTTCCCTTGAGGGCTCGCAGGAAAGGCTGACCCGATGCCAGCTAAGTCGAAGGTCTGGGCAACTTGGATGTACGATGGACCCGTTGCGCTCTGTGACGAATATCTTCAACACTGTTAGACGGGTGCGTATATGCGAATGGCAGGCTGGCAAACTTACGATGGCGTTCCGTGCCTTGTAGTCGTCAGCGCGGCAGGGTAACCGGAGGTCGGCCTGGTCCCAGACGGACCAGCTCCTGAGATGGCTGGCCGTGGATCTGGAGGTCGCCTCACTCGATCTGGAGTGTCCTGACTCTGACTTTGCTGCTGGAGGCGTCCAATGATGGTCTTGTGATCATGTTAGCTTGAAACGCAAAAGCCATGTGTATGATTGTCCATTTGGTTTCAGCGACTTACCGGCCAGTCATAATACCTTCGTCTGTCGGCTCGAATTAACCAGCCTCGCTGGCCATTCTGGGTGAATGAGCAGGCATCACAGGGAACAAAGTTATCGATGTGTACCCACTAGCTCGTGCTTCCATATTTGAGCTCTTTCACCAAATATTTCCTCCTTCAGACTTCTTAGAACCTCGTATCTTATTCCATCTCCTGGTACAAAGTAATCGCCCTGATTGTTCTTCTTGGGGTCTGCATCAGTTCCCTCAATGCGCTCCAGATATTGTTGACGTGTTTCGGGAGACTTTTTGTTGCGAACATCGCTGCCAGTATAGAAGACTCGCTGCTCCCTGTCGTAGTAGCCCTCTTCGCAGTCGCAAGACGCCTGATTTAGGTCCGTCTCAGGCTTGTGTCGGAGCTTACACCCACTAGGGCAGTTGATAGGAGACCCCGCTTCGTGCGAGTGATACTGGTGACCGCCACCCAATGGTGATTCGGCCATTGTTTGTTTGTCCTGTGTAGATCGGTCTGATGAGACTGAAAATAGGAAATATAAATTGGAATATTCGTGTTGGGTTTTCAGAGAAGGCAAATACAAGACTCAAAGGCGCACAAGCAGCAAAGAGCAGTACTCGACAGACCTCGGCGGCGAATAGAGGAAGGCGCAGTTTGAGGCTCTCGATCCCCAGGTCAGGCGGGTCGGCATTGGTGATTGGAGCAATGCTCTCGCCCTGGTAGGCATTGTCGGGCAGCAGTGAGGGTGATGTGAGCCAACCAGGAGAGCGTCTAGAGACAATCTGCCTTGTGATCAATACACCCTCCGACTTGATTGCAGAGGCATTCGGGCAATACGGGATCAGATCAAAGGAGGGCTTGTAGCCCGCGTGCCTGCGCCCTGAGCCCTGAGCCCTGAGCCCTGAGCCACGCCCAAACCCACGCTCGTGCCCACGACAATACTGGCTGCCCTACGAGAGTGAGAACGGGCTGAATGCTCTGCAAAGAGCCTCACTGTACTAGCATAAAGCGCACAGTTTGCCTCCATTCAGGAATCCATGGCGTCCATCATCTTACAACACTTCGACTGTATCACAGACTCACTGTGGATATGTGGACGATTCTCAACGCCCCAGAGAAGCCACCAAAAACCGCCGATGTTGTCGAAGAATGTTGGCTCAGAGCCGTTGATGTGAGTGTCACTTGTATCACCTTATCCCTCGTCATCTTCCACAGAGTCCTGGCCTGTGGTGGGGATCATTCGAGGCCCCCCCGGTCCCCCTCCTCTGTCCTCTACAATTATGCTGCGATACAGTATATGCCTCGGCCAAGTGAAAACCAGACTAGGCACAGCCAACAGCATTACTGGCGCTTCTGCCTCAGGCATGAAAGGATCATCCGCCTCACCGGACGGGTGCCTTTGGCAGAAATATGGCAGATGATCATTGAGGAGTCATTGTGTTACTCACTGACCAAACTTACCGTGACCATATAGCACTTCAACAATCACCTCACTAAAGATCGACAAAAGAAGCTCAAGGTTGAGGAGCTCGGCAAGAAATTCGACTGCTGCACTCTTGGACAGCTGGCAAGGTCGATCGAGGCCAACCGACGACCCGTGAATGATTCAGACCGGGGTTGGAAAAGTACCTTGCGCACCATCATCCGCAAATTGAACGATTGTGCACCCGTCGGTGATGTCCTTGTAGCGCCTCAACCCATTGTGGCAGCTCTAGTTTGGGGAGCCATTCGCCTCTGCTTGCAGGTAAGAAATTCCAATCCTTTAGTGGTCGACAAGTCCTCTAAAAGTCGGACTGCGTTAACGCGCAAAACAGTTGGGAGCCTCCTACATCCAATCTCTAGACGACATTGGACATGCGCTGGTGGTGATTGCGGGAAGTACCGGTATCTACGAACAAGTCGCATGCACCTTTAAGGACCATCGGGATATCCTGGATCAAATTGCCGAATACTTTGCCCATATTCTCGGCTATCTCGTCCGTCTCGAGATTCAAATCAGTCGAAGGGGAATAGCTGGCGTGCTCAGAGGGAGTATCTCGTTGAAGCTGAATCGTTGCTTCTCTGACCTCAAGGCTCTGGAGCTTCGACTTGACCAGCGCATCACACATACCATACACCAAGGTGAGCATTTTCCGTGTCGAATATCTGACTTGCGTTACTGATGGTTATACACAGGACACATTGTACATGAGACTAGGGTTACCGACGAAATCATTGCTCAGGAAAAATTCCGCGAAGGTGAGTATACATCCTGAATGGAGTCTTTATCCATGCGGGACCAAGCACTAGAGTCCTACATACTTTGTCTCTGAGCTGTCCCAGCCTCACTGGTGGGGAACGCCGGAAGCCCGTGTGGCTGGGGCAGGGCAAGAGTCCATGATTCGGCAACAACGCAAAGCAACCGCTGCTGGCGTAATATTGACGGTCACTAAGACTCAACTGCATTTACAGACCTTCGAGCTGCATATCAAGTGTATTTTCAAGAAGTTAGGCACCAGACCGCCATTTTGCAGAATATCAAAGCTGAAACTTATCAGACCCAGCAATGTGCGTTGAATCTCGCCCTTCCTTGGATGTTGGACTTCTCGCAAAAATACCTTCTGACCGTTCTATAGCTCTCCATCAGCTGAAACTGTGTCACAGCCTTCAGGTGCGAGGTAATGCATGATAACAGGTAGTCAAGCTAGCAAAGGACTGCCCACTGACCCAACACGTTCTGTATAGATGCCAAAGTGCTCGAAATGATCCGTGACCTAGTCAAATGGCTAGATACGGCAGCAGGAGTTTCCGAGCCCCCAACCACTGAGCCCACGCCAGGGACGTGCGAATGGATCTTGTCGGATCCAACATGGATCAAGTGGAAGTCCGCAACTACTGACAGGTGGCCGCTCTGGATAAAGGGGGATCCTGGTCCAAGTCTCCCTTGTAAACTCGCCAATCGACCACCGTGCTAACTCTGCTTCAAGGCTCAGGGAAGACGGTCCTGGCCCACAAGCTTGCCAGCGCACTCGAAAATCAGACAATACTTTTGTTTTCATTTGGGACTGAGATTCACCGCAGCCGTGATCAGATCCGCCAATTGTTTCTCTCAATGCTCCTGCGAATTTGTACATCTGGACTGATCGATCCGTACCATGACATCGCCCCGGGGCTGATACAGTTGAAGAGACTTCGCACTGCGTTTGGGCATGCCAGCCAGTGTGGTACGCAACAACTGGCCCAAACTACGAGAGAGATCGTGTCACTTCTTCCCCCGGTGATACTTATCATCGATGCGGTGGACCAATGCGGTGAGACCGACGATCGCAACCTTTTGATGAAAACATTAACAGCCATCTCTGAAAATGCCGACCACGCAGTTGTCCTGACGTCGAGGGGCGAGCCAAACATACCAAACTCATACATGATCGAATTGACGCCTGACAAGACAAAATTAGATATCGAACGGTATGCCATGCAAGAGATCTCGCGATTTCGAGGACTGCAACCGATCCAGCACGATATCCTAGATCGAATCGACAGAGACAGTGCAGGAAGCTTTCTCTGGGTACACCTGCTCTTGGACCATGTCCGTCAAGGACCCAGTCTTCAGACTCGAACACAGAAATTGACAGCCTTCCCAACTGAACCGCAGCGAGTATACGAAGCAGTCATTAGGGAGAGTGCTTGTAAGTTCGAAGAGCAAGATCAAGAACGGCAGAGGTGCATTCTCTGGGTGCTTGCCGCAACGCGGTCCCCTCTAACGCTGCGGACCCTGTTTCTCATGGTTGATGGTGATGATAACGATGCCGAATTTAAGGGAACATCGCGTGACGATGAGGATTTGGGCGTAGATCTCGATGCTCTGTGCCATCCCCTCGTGCGAGTTCGAGCCGCTCACGTCTACCTCACTCACCCTACTCTTAGAGAGTACATTCATAGTAGCGCCAGGTCGGAGGATCCTGACCTGTTTCTCGCCAGGAAATGCCTGGAGAAATTGACCAACGAAAGGTACCGCTCTTGGAAGACTGCTTTACGGCTATTACGGAAACATCTGTTGCCACCTCACATGGTATCGGATAGTGACGACAGTCAACCACTGAAAGAGTCGGTTCTTTACGAGTATGCAGTTCTTCACTGGCATGAGCACGTGTCGGCGCTTCGGAAGCCCCCAGATGATGTCCTCGATCTTCTTTCACAATTCCTGGGGGGAATTGAGAGTGTCACTTGGTCAGAAAATCTATTTGAGGCGAAGCAACAGAGTGGCATTGCACCACAATTTGAGGTACAGACGATGCTTAAACAATGGTATGACAGTCTGGACAAAGACACGCAGCAGAAGATACCCATCAAAGACTACTTTGCCAAGCCACATGACGAGCTACAGAAAGAATTGAAGGAAAAGGCTCAAGACAGGGTGGCCCCGTATCTCCCATTCATGCGGCTCGGTCAATTTTTCAACCTTGGAGGGCGATCCCAACGAGACTGGCGCAAAGGTTTTATGTACAAGGAAGCGGTGGCAGCAGGCTTTGAAAGCAGTCTGGGTGCCCGACATCCACTAACACTCCAAGCAAAAACGAGTATGTTACAAGAGTTCTTTTGGCAAGGGCGATTCGAGGAAGCCGAGCATGAGCTGTCAAAGGTTGCAGCTATACAAAGAGAAATTTACGACCAGGACAGCCTGGATGTTTACGTTACTGTGCAACTGCTAGGCTATGCACAATATTCCTGTGCTCGATTCAGGGAGGCGATGGCGAGCCTCGATGAGACCGAAGAGGCCTTTCGACGCTTGGAGGGTGAGAATTCGCCCAAGGGCCTAGTGACAAGACTTTATCAAGGGTATGTGCAGGAAAAACAGAGGAAATTAATCACAGCTCGTAGGAATTATGAGATCATCCTCGGCGAGTGGACTCCCATCGGGGGGGATGCTCATCCATTGTCCATCATGGCACGAACAGCGCTCGGCATGGTCTGCCGCAAATTGAAAGAGCACCCGACGGCGGAAGAATCCTTGTTGAATGCTTGGACGCAGAAACGAAAAGTTTTCGGTGACGATCTGAATCTGACTGTCGATGCTGCCGTGTCGCTAGCGCTGGAATATCGAGACAATGCAAAGTTGGATCTTGCCAAACAAGTCCTGGAGGCGATCAAATCTTCCGAGGTATTTACCACCGACTTTGAGCGCAGTTGTCAGTGGCAGTACGTCTTGTCTCTGATAGAATTCGACCGTGGATATTACAACCGACCAAGGATGGTTCTGCGGGACCTCGTCGACCAGAGCATCGGAGACAGTCGGGAGGATAACAACAGGTCGCTGCTCTGGATACGCCTGACACTGGCCAATGTGCTCAGGCACCATGAAAACCCCGACGAAGCCGCCGCATTGTTCAGTGAGATTGTGGAACCAATCGACGAGGTGGAAAGACGATTCTGGTTTGCACCAGAACCCCCTGAGAGATTGCGGATTGCGGAACAAGCATTGCAGCTCGTGCAGGAGTGCCGAGAGGATGAGGCCAAAGCACTTCTTCATGCCAACAGACTCCAATGGGTCCGCGAGCGCGACTTTGATATTTTGCAAGGAGGCCCGGTCACTGATGTTGCCGTGACCAACCCGGTTGTGACGATCGTTATCGACCCCTAGATAATTACATCTAGGAGAAGAAAATGACACAAAAAAAAAGGAAAGAATTACCCGTGGATGCTCGAGATTGAACTGGGACTTGGAAAGTGCCATACCTGAATAATGAGGTTACTATTGTTTCCACTTATGTTGCTTTGGGTGCATGTCTTGTGGCGGGTGGTGTTTTTTGTTGCGAGGTATTGAAACGGATTGTATCACTTTGTCTCAAGGAACAATCAATCAGTTATTGTGTCTGCAGAAGCTAGAACTTAATTAATACAAGGATGATATGGTCGAGGTAGAATATTTGTTCTTTCTTAGTTGTCTTGAGATGAAGTTGTCATAATGTGTTGAGTAACTAACTAACACAATAGAGCCTTGGCTCCTGTCTAAGTATTGTCATTAGGTGCTTTTGAGGAACCTTTTCGGCCTTTTCAGGGTTCATGGGCGCCGACTAAGAACCTTGCTCTATTATTATTACATTTTTTGGTAGCCTTCACTCCCTTCCTAGGCAATTAGCAATATCTACGTGCCCCTTTTCTGGGTCACCAGTCAGACACGCTATTATCTTGCCTACAGACCTCCCCTACATTAATGTATATCACTCAATTAGACTCGTCGTCAAAACATACCAAGCATATTGGCAGAGGCTACCCCTTCCAGTCCGAGAACGACTACCGAATCTCTCGAGGGTCCTGTCGAGATATTGTTGCCCTCACTGTTCTGTACATCAAATCCTGCAGCACAGCCGTCCGCGCCCGCGTCAACTGGGTCCAGAGAGACCAATCTTCGCGGAGTCGTCCACAGAGTCATCTTTTCTCGAGTTCGACTATTACCGAGTACAATGGACATTGATATCTCCGACATTCTCGCAGATGTTTCGCGCTCTCAACCCTCCACAACACTCACACACCCATCTTCGGTCAGTGACACGGACGCTTTCATCGACCACCAGCTCCTCACACGCGCATGGACATCGGAGCGTTGCGCACCTGACTTACTTCCCTATCCCACAGAACTAATGGCCCGTGTAATGGCGCGTGTCCAAGCACAAATATCACGCATTGAAGACCTAGCCAGCGGGATGGGTGGGGACTCTTACTCGAGTTCTATGGAGGGGATCGTGGGTGGGAAACCAGCCGGCGGGACGCGGAATGCGAATCTAGCCCTTGCGATATTGCAGACCGACTTATCACGGACGCAGTTCCTGGTCAGGAGTTTGCTCAGGCAACGGCTCGCCAAGATGACCTCGCATGCCACTTATTACCTCTCGCAACATGTCAACTCTGACAACAAGGCGTCCGTCATCATGTCAGCGGCGGAAGTCGCTTTTCTGAGGCATCATCAAGCTCTCCTAGGCGACCTCTATGATTCGAGTTTTCTGAGCTCGCTACCGACGGGGTTACGGAGACTGGATGATTCCAGTGGAGTAGTGCCTATGATTGAAGGGCCCGACGGCTCAAAGGCTGTGGTCGTCAGATGCTTAAATGAGGGGACGTGGAATAACGAGCGGGATGTCGACGAGGCGAGGGACCGGGGCGAGCAAGAAGGTGCTAGTGTAGTGCTGAGGATGAGGAGAGGAGAGGTCTGGGTTGTTCGGTGGAAGGACGTCAAGAAAGGCGTGGAAAGGGGAGAGGTGGAGTTGTTATGACCAGCAATTTTGCACGTTTATATCCATAGCACTTGGGTCAATCACCCATCCATAAGTAACGACAGGCGATGTCTGGCTCTAGCGATGCCTATACAAATTTGTACCAGTAAGATATGTACAGTACAAAAGACTGAGAATCATGCACGTGATAAGGCTGGTTGCCAAGATCCCCAGCCTCGTTCCAAAAGTTGAGCCCCAGATTTGATCGCGTCGCAGTTACAGGCGCGCCCTGACCTGCAACAACCACCCAACAACCATTGATACCCATGATACCGATAATCTCGCCCTGAGAGCCGCGCACTTGTTCCAAGATGAACCCAATGATGAAAGACCCTGCGGCCGGCATCCCGCCGCAGCTGGTGAGTCGCAACATCCTCCACTCGATTCCTTTCCAACAACCCTAAACTGACCTTTGCCCGCACCTCAGCTGCCACATCTGCATCTCGTCTCCAAATATCGTTACCCAATTACGAGCAATCCTGCAGTCGATACCATTGTCGCATACCTCCTGGAGGCACCCAAGATTGTGCGCGACCTGCAGCCTATGCAATGGCAGTTCATCGACACTCCGCCAGACGGCACCTTGATCCTCGAATGGCAGCCCCTCGAATACCTGGGCACAAACTATGCGAGTGACGGCTTCATTTGGGCAGACGTGGAGCATGTGTACAAATCCGAAGTCCGTGGATATGTAGGTAACCAACAATATCAAACTCATCGCAGCGCGCTAACTATGCTTCTTGTCAGACTCTGGAAATGTTTCTGCAAAGAGCGGGTTTTCGAGCCACGGGCGAAGTCATGGCAACACACAGCAGAAGACGCTATCGCCTCCTTCCTGGAAACCCAGCTCATGGTCTCCCGAACCCTGACCCTAGCTTGTGGTTGACTCACTACTCCAAAGCCTCTCCGCGCGACCACGTACCCGCCGCCAACATCCCCATTTTGCCTCATGTTCATGCGATCCTGCAACAGCGTCGCATGATTCAGAGCCAAGGGCAACTCCCTAGAAAGGACTTTATGCTGCACGATCGATCAAATTGGCCCACGATGCACCTGCCTCCGGGGGTACCCAGAGGACCTGCCCAAGGACAAATTCCTCCCGGGGTTGGTCATAGAAGAGGTGCCAGCATCACCCAAGACACGACAGTGGAGGAGGAAGAAGACGTTTCTCGTGGTGACTTGCTTGATTTTATGGCTCCCAGAGACATCAGCCGGGTTCGGTATGAGCAACACCATGAATGGATGGAGGAGCTAATTGAGTCGCCATATCCCACCCTCTCCATCATCCCCAGCGACTTGGGTTTTGGGCGTAAGGGCCAGCTGGAAGAACTGACCAAAGATTTCTTCGACGCTCCTGTCTCGGCGGCGAGAGAACCCAGCAATGGGCCGCCGCCACGAGTTGGGAAACTGCCTGCTGGCCAAGCTGATAACTTCATCAAACGGGCTTCTGAAAAGCTAGCCAAAATGCAAGAAGAGCTAGAAGAAATGAGGAAACGGCACGCTCGCAGACTGGAAAAACTGCGTCGCTCCACGACCTTGACAGCCGCCGAGAAGAAGTTGCGGACGGCGCCGGATGTGGCAGGGAGACCAAGTATCTCCAAAGATGGTCCCAGTGGCGATGCCGACATCGTCACGCGAGACCCGATTGATAACATCATGGAAACAGTAGAGTCAGACATGGGCCAGAAGCTGACAAAGACCAATACCGTGACGCTGATTTCAAGAGGGGGCTTGGAGGAGCGAAATAAAGTCACTGCAGCCCCTCCCCAGCCTCCAGCTGCGGTCGTTTCTTCGCCAGAGAAGACTATCCAAACTCTTCCCAACGCAGGAAGTTCCAGCGCTCAACAACCGTCACAGCCACAGCCGCAGCTGAGCGCAACTATGGTCGACGAGCCAAAGCAAGAGCAGCAACAAACCTTTGCGGTCACCAACGAGCAGCAAACCCCGGTGACCGCGGAAGCAGTCCCTGCACCATCTGAAGCCCAAACGGCACAGTCTACGGAGGTCAAACAGCAGCCTGAAGAAGCCAACCAGCAAGCCGAAGAACTTCCGCAAATGGACGATCTTGTCACAGATGTGAACATGGATGGTATGGACGACCAAGTTGAAAATGTCAACCAAGACGGAGACGAATGGGTTATGATTGGGGAAGATGGGGGTCAGAACGACTTGGAAATTCCCGAGATGGCAGATGAAGATCAACAGCACGAAAATCATGCTGTAGCCGATGCCTCTGGGGACCAGTCCAATAATGGCCAGAGCACTGACCAGCCACAGCAAGTTCAGGCTGAGCCTCCTCCGGACGGAGCACTGAACACTCCGGATTTCGGAATGGGAGGGGATTTTGATAATGTCGAAGTGGACACAGCTGGGGATGCGCTTGCAAGTTATGAGAACGATGACGACTTGAACCTGGACGGCATGGAAGGCTCTGCCTTTGGAGACGCTTTCCACCCTGAGGAAGATGAGGAGATCTCGTAGGATGAGTATATCCCTCTTTTTCCGGGAGGGAGTGGGTGAGGTTCGGGCTTGATTGTTCTACTAGAACTTGAATGTATACCAGCATTTTGATAGCAAGGGGCAATGCGACACTGATGGCTTCGATATGTGTACACAATATGCCTTGATGTGACCAAAAGTGGTTTATCAAGTTTATCGACTGCGGCAGCCGTACAGATTGCGAGAAAGTCCCACGTGCGCCGTGACATGGGAAAAAATACGAGGGGATCGGCCTCTGCCTCGACTGAATTTTCTTCTGTTACAAGGTGTTGTTCTGTAGCCCTAGTAAAATATCCATCCATCGTCAAATGGGCTTTTCCGTCATTCTAAGATTCAGATAAGGCGACTTGCTTGTCGTCTGGCTGCTGCGTCTTTTGGTGCGGTGCCTTTTCCTCCCGCATTTACCGAATCGCTGGAATCCATATCCGGAACCAGCATTTCGCTTCCCGCAATGTTACGCACGCCCTCGCCAAGCAGCCTCTATGGCTTGGTGGACATGGGAAGGTAATATAGCATCCTCCAGCCGATATTCTACGCCATTTCCTGCGGCTACACAGATACTGACAGTGCCCGGGATGGGGGCGTCGACAGCAATGGCATCCGGTTCTCCATCACCGACCTCTCACCCTCAACCGCCCGCTCCCTCCCAACCGTCTACCAGGACCGCGAAGGGATCTCGTTATTCGACGCCCAATACTCGACCGGCGTCAGGGGCCCTATCCCCCAAGACACCATCGACGAGGTCCTTTCGTCACTGACTAAATTCAAGTCAGCATGCGCCGACTTTGGGGTGCCCGAGACCAACATCAGAGTCCTGGCCACCGAAGCCACGAGAAATGCGGAAAATTCGGCCGACTTCCGGCGGCAGATCAAGGAGGCCACGGGCTGGGAGGTCGACATGTTGCCCAAGGAGGCTGAAGGGAGGATAGGTGCCATGGGGGTGGCCAGCAGCTTTGCTTCGGTCGAGGGCCTGGTCATGGATTTGGGTGGTACTTCGAGAGCCCTCCCTCCCCTTTCTCCTTCTGCTTGGGAAGATTCTTAAATGTCATTGATTGACTGGTTGACTAACTGACTGGCGACAAACCCAGGAGGAAGCACTCAGATAACGTGGATGATCGCCAAAGACGGCCACGTCCAGACCAGTCCCAAGGGCAGCATCTCGTTCCCCTACGGCGCTGCAGCCATGACCAGAAGGCTGAGAGAACTCTCTGCGTCCTCTTCAGATCACGACGGTCACCACAAATCCAAGTCCGCGGTACAATCGCCAGTGGAAGAACTGGAAGAGGACATGAAAGCCCAGTTCCGCCAGGCTTATCAAGACCTGGACATCCCTGATTCTCTACAGCACAAGGCCATGCATGGCGGTCTCACGCTGTATCTCTCCGGCGGCGGCTTTCGGGGCTGGGGATACCTGCTCATGTCGCAGCACAAGGTGTCGCCGTATCCCATACCCATCATCAACGGATTCTGTGTCTCGAAGCGCGAGTTCCAACAGACGAGGGAAATCACAGCCGTGGCGGCCGAGGAGTCGGTCTTCAGGATCTCCAAGCGGCGCGCCGAGCAGGTCCCAGCCGTGGCGTTCCTGGTCAATGTCCTCGTCAGCGCACTGCCCATGATCCAGCAAGTGCGGTTCTGCCAGGGCGGAGTGCGCGAAGGGTTCCTCTTCGACACGCTCGAGGCGCCCATAAAAGCACTCGATCCCTTACCCGCGGCCACCGCACAGTACGGCACCTCCTCCGCCGCCGACCTCGCAGCCCTCCTGTGGGACGGCCTCCCTGGCGAGAACCACCTCGACCGCTCCCTTCCGCCGTCATTCACCCCATCCCTGATCCGCGCCGTTGCGGACATGATGTACCTGCACCTGCCTCTCCCCAAGGAGACGCGCTCCCTGTCAGCGCTGCACGCACCCATCACGGGCGTGCTGACCTCGGCGCACGGTATTTCGCACACAGACCGAGCCATCCTGGCCCTGGCGCTCTGCACGCGGTGGAACGTCGACCTCCCGCCTCCGCACGAGGCCCTGCAGGCTCGTCTACGCGCCGTCCTCACGCACCAGGAGGGCTTCTGGGCGAACTACCTGGGCGCGCTGGCCGGCCTGCTCGGCACCATCTACCCGGCCGGCCACATCATCGACGTCCAGCGGCCGCGCGTGAAGCTCGCCGCGCGCTGGGCTGATGGATTGGGCAAAAAGGGCCTGAGCCAGGGCGTCGTGCTCCGCGTCCAGTGCCGGCGCGAGGACCCCCTGACCGTGCCCCTCGCGCTGAATCCGCTGGTCAACGAGCTGGAGAAGGTCGGCAAGAAGAAACACCGCGTCGGCGGCGAGCATGGCTTTGGTGTCCCCGTCGACGTCAAGATTGAGCGGGACTTGGTGTAGTTGGTGCGCGAGGTATATTACCCTCAAGAAGAGAGATCGAGAGATCGAGAGGGAGGGAGGGAGGGAGAGAAAATGCAAGCGGACTCATTCTTGAATAATAGGTACTCAGAGCGAGCCAAGTAACGTGGTAACGTGGTTGCTACTACGTATGAACATACATATGTACGTTATGTACGTACGTTCGTGTATTCTGTGAACTCCTCCTCTATGATTCACATACCTACCAAATACTTATCTGTCTCGTCACGTTCGATCCTAGTCTCTGTGGGATTCATCCAACATGATGAAACGTGAAGAGCTAGCCAGCTACTGGCCAGCGAACCTCGCAAGTCTTAGACGATCCTGAGCTTTTCCGCGCCGGCTGTTGCGTCCCAAAACTCGCTTGGCTGGTCACAGCCCATCTGGTCCTTGAGAACCTCCCCTTCCATCCACCCTTGCACAAAACACGTCCCTAGAAGCCTGTACGCGCCTGCAATCTCCGGGTGCTCGCCCAACAAGACCGGGACGGAACACGTCGCCAGGATGGCCAGGTGGAGCGGCCCGTTGTGGTCGTCGTAAGCACCCTCACCCTTGCCTTTGCCGACATAGGAGGGTAGGAGACCCATGTATCCCTTTTCAGAGATAAACAGATTCCTCCCGCGCATGATGGTGCGCACAACGTCCCACGCTTCTAGGCGCGAGTAGTTGGCCCCCCACCAGGGGACGTGGCGAGACCGATTTGGGTCCTGGTCGCGATTTAACCTTGGCTTGAAGGGTATGCAAGCATATGGTGCTGTCCAGAAATCTTCATCCCGAGGCATCTTGGAACCGTCTTCTGTCTTTGGCCACGAAGCAACGCAATCGCCGTGCACCATTGCTATCGCGGCTTGCGCGGCATCGTCGTAGGAGGTGATATTGTTCTTCGCGAAGAAGTCTTTGCAAAACCCAACCAGGCCAGGAATTGCTGCTTCCACGGGGACACCATCAATCGGGCTGGTTACAACACCATCGACCTTGTCCAGAATGATGCCCATGCAGTGCAGCGTGTTGCCGTCGAACTCAAAGTATTTGTTTTTCCCAGGCTCTTGATAGACACCGCCATCGGTGCAGTATACTCTGCCATCAATGTCATCCTGCATGGACATGCGAAGTGGCCGGAATCTCTCACGACGGACGAGAGAGCTCGACAGCGATGAGGTGCTCCAATCCGGACACCACGAAGGTGCCTTTGAATAGAATCCGTGCTGATCGACCGGCTTGGTGAATTCGGAGGCGGCAATCATATCTAGACTGCCACTGTGTGTACACCATGCTTTGGTAAAGTCCATATAGGTATCCTCGTAAGCGCGTGAATAATCTGCCTTAAAGGCCAATCCAGTCCTGTCGCGCGCGACATTCCACAGCGCGAACAACTTGTCGTGTGGGATGGTAGCTTCAAAATCTCGGGCAAGGATTGCAGATTCAAGGTATCCAGGCGCTGTGTCTCTGATGCCGTGTGTAATGAACCCACCACGGTTCCTGCCAATGTGGAGGTGGCGAAAATAAAGGAGCTTGCGAATGTAGAGCAGCTGAGCTCGGTCGACGTCTCGTAAGTCGGGGGTCGCATCTTTCATTTTCTGAGGAAGATCTGGATCCCGCGATATCATGTCGCTCAGATGGGCTGCCGCCGTCTCGAGGGCTTCGAATTCGGTGCCAATGCGCATCCCGCAGGAAATCACCGGGTTCGAGGCCAAGGCCACCTCTTGCACGACCCATGCTCTCCGAAAATAAGGCCGGGTCAGGAAGAGGTACAGTGCCGCGCAAAGTCGGGGAATTTCGCCAGGATCGATCCGCTCTGGCTTGCCGATGATGAACTCATAGTCTTCGTCCATGCGAATCATAGGTTCCTGGAGGTGCTTGACAAAGTCCTGGGCGACATCACTGTACTGATCCTCCTCGCCTACGTCACAGACAACAACTGCAGCATGGTCGTAGACGGCAGCGACGCGAGGGATCTGATGGTTTTTTTCACTCATGTCAGATTGATTGATGCATATAGCATCTGCCCAGACAGCGCATGCACGTGGCGACGAGGATGGCCGCAGCCGACGGAGGGCACGTTCCAGGTTCTGTCGAATCTGCATCGATTGGCCCATCACAGTGATCTCGACGGCGTCGTCCACGTTCCCCCACGTGTACGACAAAGCGTGGTAGACCACGTCAGAGGCAAGCGGACAATGCGCCAGATGGAGCACCAACGGCGCCTGCTTGTCCTCATTCGGGTCGATCACGATTATGCGGGTCTCATCAGCCACGGTATCCAGTGGCACGTATTGGTAGGGTTGAGTCGGCCGGTCGTTGGAGACTCTGCTCCCAAGCTTGATGGGATAGACCTTTGGCAAAGGCCATTGATCTGGTAGATCATGCCACTTCTTGGTCCAGTCTCTGTATCGAGAATCAATCACCTTTTCAAACACTCCTTGGTCCATCAAATCTCGCAGAAAATGTTGCATGTCCACCACCAATTCCGCTTTCTCGTAAATCTTATCCTGGAATTCGCGGGTCCAATAGCGAGCCATCTCATCCGGATTTTGCTGGTCGACACATATGTATCGAATCCAAAGCCTCATAGGTTTGTCGCCGGAGCTACTGAAGTATCGAAGGAACCTGTGTAATGCTACCGAGACGAGGAGGCATTTGCCATTGACGAGAATCAATTCCTCCAGCAAACGGTATCCTCGAGCATTCCGGACGGCGATGAATGGGTCGGCGTGACCTAACAATTGGGTCTCCATGGTACAGCTGACCAGACCGTCTTGTCCACCCTGGTCATCACCCGCTGGATGTCGCTGCAACACAAGAAAACGAACCTCTTCGTTCTCCACGTCGAGATTGCCATAACAGAAGGGTTCACCCTGAACTATTTCACGAAATCCTTGATCGTTGACCACCACTTCGGCCATTGCACTTGCAGGCCTTTGCGGTGTTGCATAGAGAATGCATCGTGTTGATGGGACGCCTCAGATGCATGGTGTATTTTGTACCTCGTAAATTCAGGGACGCTGGACTGGGGACTGGAGCCTGAGCACAAGGAGTACCAGGACACATTTGGAGAAGTGCGAAAGTATGCTTGTTGATGAGACACTTGATTTGGGGGCCATTTTCCTGGCATGAACAATGAGCATATTATTTTGTACTCAGCACTTTAGTGCCTTGGTGCCTGACGAGGCTGGCGCAGGCAAATGCCAAGAGCCAAGCCTGCGTCGGTGCTGGTCTACATCCTCATTCGATTCATCAAGCTTCTCTAGCAACACCAACAAGCATTTGCTATCACGCAGCGAGAGGTTCGCCATCAGCTACGGCTTTACTTCCCGCTTCAAAGTTGCCACCACAGCTCGAAGCTATTAAAGCCTACGAGATGGGCATGATCGGCTCAGCTCCCACTTCCATGGGGTGATCTGCCGGACCTCCTGCAGAACAGATCCCGTCGTCTTCCACAAGTGTTCGAGGTACCTCGCATGAATGCTCTGGGTCTAAGAAGAAACACAAACTCAACAAATTCCACTTTTCGAGCCTCTAGAGTTCATTGCTTGATACAAAATCCCCTTAGTCCCCGACAACATGTGACTCCAACGTGCTAACTTCCTGCGCTCGGTGGCTACGACTGGTCTTCCGTTCTTCTTCTGTCCGTCTTTCCTTCCTTTGTCCACACCAAGTACTGTACCGGCGTTATGGGCGTATTTAGAGCCCAACGTGTGGCCCCTACGGGCCTTGTCTCACATGGAAGCGTATCAAGAGATCTCCCAAGCTCGACTGATGCCGAGAAAGATATTTCCACAGATGCCAAAGAGTCAACCGTTGCTAGTGTGCATATAGACCCTGTACTGGAGAGGAGGGTTGTGCGCAAGATTGACCTGCACGTCACTCCACTTGTTACCTTCTTATGTGAGTCGCCCAGCTGAACGCTCTGTCTCCGGTCAAAGGATGCTGTGAATGATGTAAAAGACAATTCTTGAGTGGGGAGCTCCTATCTTCGTTCTGCCACCAAGATGGATTCTTGATAGAGCTCTTATTCCGAAGCGTGACTGTATTCCTTGGCATAGCCCACTGGTTGACAGTTTGCAGTTCTACTTTCGTTCCTTGACCGATCCAATATCGGCAATGCGCGTATTGCTGGAATGGAGGACGACCTCGGTCTGACCAGCAATCGATATGAGTGGTTGTTGACAATATTCTACATCTCATATATTGTGTTCCAATTCCAGGTGCGCTCTTATGGCCGGATGGGTTTGAGCTGGCCGTGATGCTGACTGTGTACTACAGGGTTTCATGTGGAAGATAATGTAAGTGAATACGCGGGCTGTCTGTAGAGCGTGTTTGCCAACAGATACCAGAAAGCCACATATTTGGGCTTGCTTTATCACTCTTGCCTGGTAAGAGCATCTCTGATACCACCTACGGACTTTTTATCAACGTCGTAAGGGGAATTATTGCAACCTGTCAAGCCGCCACTCAGTCATGGGGCGGGGAAATGGCCTTGCGATGTCTGCTCGGCGCCGCCGAAGCAGGCTTCGGGCCTAGCATTCCTTACCTGCTCAGTTTCTTCTACCTCAGACACGAGCATGGCTTTCGCAGCGGGATCTTCTTCGCGGCTGCTCCTCTCGCCAATACGTTCGCTGGAGCTCTCGCGTACGGAATCACGAGTGGTCACCCAGGTATTGCCAAATGGAGGCTACTTTTCCTTGTGGAAGGCATTCCCACCATTCTGGCTGCTCCTTTGGCCTGGTTCTTCCTCCCTGATAGCCCGACTACTGCTCGGTTCTTGACTGCAGAAGAAAGGGAGGTTGCTCAGGCGAGAGTCATCAGGCAGCATGGTCACCAGGAGGCAGACAAACACCGTGTCAGGCTCACGGAAGTCGGGCAAACCCTGCTTGACGCCAAAGCATGGTTTACAGCGGTAGTGCTACCCAAAGCGATAGAGCGACCGGAATTTGCTGACCGAGAATCCAGTTGATGTACTTCTCGTGCAATATCTCTTACTC